AATATTAAATCATGCAAATAATGTATTTCTGTTTCCAAACATCTGTCCAAAGAAGTCCCAGGGAAGGCAATAGTCCAGGGTATACAAGATTTTGAGCTGCTTTACCATCTTTCTGATGAAAAAATAAGAGGTTTACATAAGGTGTGTGTGACGGCATTTAAACCTGCACAAACTGGAACCTTTTCTTTTACCTATGAAAGGATTCATGAGGTGACCCATTAGCTCTTTGAGGAACGTTAAATACACTATAGACAATTAGAAAATGTAACAATATCAACAAATCAAACAACAATCACAAATTCTGCCAATGTATGCAAAAAAAAAAAAAAAACCTTTACATTATCTATACCTCCCCCCTATCCATGGTGCTCTGTACATATTCTAGTTTTGTTTTCAGAAATTAAACTTGATAAAAACTCTTAGTGAATGGCATTTAACTTGCTAAAGTACTGTGTATTATAACATTTTTCTGAAATAAAATTCTTGTCCTTTGTTGCATCTCAGTGCTCCTTATCATCTGCCACATTTATTTACGTCCTGTGTACAAGCATGCACCAGTGATCGATGCATGACATTTCTGAAGCTGGGTTTCCTAATGGTGACAACAGTTAACTATGGCTTTGTTATGTGTGTTAAAAAAAATGGTAGTCTTCATTGGAATACTATGTAATAAAGCAAAAACAAATACACAACTGGGAGTCAGGGGCAGCGCATAGTCTTCCCAACAGAAAGTGCTTGCACAAAACCCTTCATGGCAGGATCGCTACTGTACTGTTTTAATCAAAGCTTACAATTTACAAAAATTGAAAATGAATTAGCATATTGAAGCTTATATGAAGTTTTAATTATTGGGTTTACATATATTTTCATTTCAAACGCCATTTATAAATATTGTTTTGAAATTAATGGGCTGCAAAATCAATATAAAAGCAGCTGTTTCTTATAAGCATGCATACAAACATGGGCCAATTTATCCGACCATTGCCACAGGTGACTCGCCTAATGACTTCAATAGTCCTTTACATAATTGGATTGTATTGATTTTTTTAAGTTGAATTACAGAATTGAAGGAGTCACAATCTTGTCTTAATTTTCGTTGAACAAAAATGCATAGGAGGCTGTAAATACTATGTAAACACAGAATGTTGTTTTCCTTAAAATTTGACAAGAATAAAATGTTCTACCTTTTTGAATGATATGTAGAATATTTGTAGCTACATGATGTTCCATAATTGGTGTTTTAATTGGGCACCTTCTAGTTGAAAAGTAAGGGAAAATGAATAAACAATCTGCTTGTCACATTTTTATAAATGATCATATATGTATTCAGGAAGCTTTCTTATGGTGCCAATTAAAATCATATGGTAGAACGTGATTTGGAGCTTAATTAACTCTTCTGATTCCACCTTCAACAATAGCATGCCAACAAGAAACAAATTGAACTCAACCAACCATATGCTTGGGCAAAGTTGGGAAGTTATACAAAGTAGGTAGCGATGGGCTTGATGGGCAGTTTGTGTGTTCGGCGATTCACAATTGTGTGTTCACTATTTGTGGTGCACAGTGGCTTGTGAGCCCTGATTGGCTAAGGCACCTGACCACAGTTCGTCACAAGTTTGTGGTGCGAGCGGACGGGTCATCGGGTTTAAAAAAAAAAAAATTAGATTTATTTTTTCTTGTTTTATCTTTTATTTTGGTGAGTCGTCGTCATCATGGACAACACTGGGCATTGTGATTGACCTTTGGATTACGGCGTTGGATAAATTTTTTTTTAAAGACTTGTCAAAAACTTGTCTTTTATTTTTTTTCAATTAAAGGAATTTTTCAAAAGTCTGGTCTTTTTTATTTACTATTTATTTTAACCCTTTAGTGAATGGGTAGGGGTACAAGTACCCCTTATTCATTCACAATGGGGGCCCTTCATTAAAATGTGAATAAGCCCCCCTGCCCACACCCCCACAACCAATGCCCAACTGCATGTGGGGAACAGGGCTTGTGGGGGCGACCCTTCAAAAGCACCCTCCCAGTGCCGAGGTCATGTGGGCTGGTATCGTAGGGAGGGGAGCCGCTCACTCATCCCCCCCTTTCCTGCCCTGCCAGGCCTGTGCTCGGATCAAAGATCTGGTTAGGATTTTTTCACGTTTTTTTCCATTTTTGGGGGTGGGGTTCCTCCTTAAAATTCCTACCAGACCTTAAGTGCCTGGTATGACTTTGAGGGGGAGCCCAATGCACTTTTTTGTTGTTTTGTTTTTACATTGGGTCCCTTCTAAACTTCCTACAAGACCTGAAGGGTCTGGTATGACTTTTGGGGGGAACCCCACACTTTTTTAAAAAAATGGGGTCCCTCCTAACATTCCTTCCAGACCTAAAGGGTCTGGTATTGTTTGGGAGGGGGAACGGCATGCTTTTTTTTTCTTTATAAATGTCATCTTTTAAAAAAATAAATGGCAGTCTTGCTGCAGCAGATTCTATACATCGTACAGATGTGCCACTTTACAGGCAGTTTAAGGGGACCCCCCAGTCACGATATTTAAAGGCATTTTTCATTTTTATTGTTCCACTTTAAGCAATGTTAAAATCACTGCTCCTTTAAAAACTGTACTTTTTAAAAGTGTTTTTTTCCATTGATACATGTCCCCCAGGGCAGTAGCCAAATCCTCATACCCTTTTTTATGGCCATTAACTTGCATATAAGCCTTCAAAAAGGGGACACTTGATTTTCCAAGTTCGGGTCCAAAAGACATTCATTGAGTTTGAGTTCAAATTCAAACTTTTTCCATGTTCTAAAGTCGAATTTGAACCGAACAAAGAGGCCCATCACTAAAAGTGAGTACTAGGGATGCACAGATACATTTTGAGTACCAGTGCAGATACTTGGCATTTTCATGAAAACTACCAGGGTTGCAGCGGTTGCAGCTGGGACCTGGCTCTGGCGCTCCACCACTGTCCTGAAATCATTAGTCTGTATTGTTTTAGAAAAACTGTCACATGACAATAAACAAAAATGTATCAGTACTCGTACTTGTAAGTACTCGGCAAGTACCAGTACTCATACTCGCAAAACTGGTACCTGTGCATCCCTTTATTTATATTTATAAAAACAAAATTGTGCATTAAAAAGAGATGTACAAATCCCAGGAGCTCCATGTGCTCCTTACACGACAGCTGCCTCCTAATTTTTGAATTTTTCTCTAGTGTAGTCTTGAAGCTCAAAAGTATTGGTATATGTACTCGTACTTGTACCGAGTATTGTACTTGGTATCTGTGCAACCCTAGTGAGTACCCATCACTAAAAGTAAGTACACATACATCGTCCCTTACTAAATAGCCCCTATAAAGTAAACAGTGAACAGTGCATCGACATCCAAAACATTGTATTTTTTTGGATGGAGTGGGAAAGAGTTAGAGCCCATGCCAAGCTTTTATTACTGTCTGCCAAAACAGAAAGTAATGAGAAATCCAAAATAAAAAGCCCTCTTATTTTAGAGCTTTCCTCTCACTTTCAGGAAGAAAAGGGGAATAACACACACACACACACACACTAATAATTGCCATTGAAGAATTTAGTCTTCTATTGCTGACCTCTCCTTCTGAATATACGATTACCCTGACTGTTATGTGGAATCAAAGGCTGCAGTACTTTGCAATATGCTGACTATATTTGAACTTTCCTGACCTGCATGCTTGCTCCATGCCAGTATTTGAGAATGTATGTCAGTCAGAGACAGCAAGGCAACTAGCATTTTAAGTAGCCTCACTATTCCTCTAAGTACAAAAATAGCAAGGAGTACAGAAAATAGGTAAACCTTGTGCAGATGTGCTAAGAGGTTACAGTTTTCAGAGATCTGAAAAAAAAACCTTAATGCAAACACAAGCTATGAATTCTTGTTCCACAGCACAAAGCCCAATTCTAAGAGAGTGTTGATTTATATTTTGTTATAAAACTAGTAGCCAACATCAGTGTAGTTTTAAAGTTCCAAGACAGCCCTGTTTTGTGGTAAAATATAAAGGGTAGGTTCAGGTCAGGTAAATACAGTCCAGGAACATCACCAGCACACCATTAAACATGAAATAAATCCATTTTATAACACACACTTGTGGGCCTCACAGGGTCCCCTTCATCAGGCTCAGAATGATGGTCACGTCAGGTAAATAGACATCAAACATGTCAAACCTTAAAATTGCATGTGCCTGCAAATTCACAAAGAAACAATCATACTCAAAATTGGCCATAGGGGATGCTTTAAAAACTTTTACATCAGTTCAGCGTTATCAGTGATTATCCCTAGAATTATTGCTCACACTCCGACATTCACGATGATATGTAACTTGTGCGGTACAATGCTGTTTGGTTGTTTGCGTACCCGACACATGTTTTGACTATAACTTTTTTATGTGACTAATTTTTTTAAACATTTTCTAAAAAAAAGTCGCCCGAAAGCTTGCATGTAAAAAGCCATCGAAGGATGTTTAAATTGCAGGCATTTTCTGGCTCATGCGCAAGCAGAGTGCGTGAAGTGGGGAAAGGCTTTTTTAAAACGCCTACCCGCATTCAAGAGTGTGGTTAAAATAATTTCAAAAGTTTAAAAAAAATTAAAAACTGCAATACATAAGAAAATTACAAACATTTATTAGTTTTGATTTGTTATCTATAAAAAAGACCCTAAGCAAAGAATTAAAACAGTATAACAAACAAAAGCGTTTTATGTGATTGACATTTTTTAAATTACATAGGTAGGCAAGGATGCCATAGAGTTACAGTCAAGATAATTGATGCATACTGACACTACTACATTTGGTCTGGTCATCTAGGCTTTAATGTCCGCTGATCATAAAAGTGGAACAATTTGGAAACTCTCTTCTAGAGGAGCATATCAATACATCACGTGTCTTGTTTTGACTGATATGGATTTAATATTGGTATTTTAATGTCTGGGGTGTATACATTCCCACTAGCTCAATTTCAGAGGTACAATATTGTAAATATTTTGTATACTCACTGGTTTCTGTAGCTACCACTGTGATGTTATGCCACATATTCTTCTCCCGATCGAGTGCAGTGGCCAATGTTATTTTGCCATCATCCGCATTAATGTTAAACTGTCGGTCAAGATCTGTATTGCGATCGATGGAAAACCTGTAACATATAATTGTTTTTCTCCATCACTCATCTGTATATTTTAAATACCATATTCTGTTTACTTAGTAACACTTACAAGAAAAGTTCAAAAATAGTGTAATCTCTTTACCCAGTATTACCATATGTTACTCAGTAGTAAATCAACCATAATGTGATAAATAGATGTACTCAGTAAGGAAATTATGATCTTACTTCAAGTTCAGCTGATGACATGTTTAAAACCCACTATTAATCAAGCTATAAATATGCAATCTCCGACATTTATCGTGATATAATATATCAAGTCAGCACCATGCCATGCACACAGATTACACTCATGTCTCTGTGGTATTGTATTTAAAGCTGTGATTTATTTGTAGATTTAGATTAATTCATATTTTAATGCAGGAGAACATCTTAGTTTGCTTGCATCAAAAAGCAAGCATACTAATAACAGGGACACTTCATTTTGGATGTGAATCAAACTAATTACGTCAAAAGAAGAAAAGGTTCATGGAGGTCACCAAGTTTAAAGGTACTCTGGTAAAGTGTCAGTCCAACTAAACCAATATTTTGGTTATGAGAAAACTCTAAATACCTCCTTTCTATTCTGAGCATTTAAGTAGCAAGATACCGCTTCTATAGTTTATATATAGACCAAATCAATAAATAGAGATGAGTGAAACTGAGAGATGTAATATCCCTAAACATGTCATCAAAAATTAGGAAATGTGGGTGCATTGGAGTCAATGTCAAAGGTGAACTTAATGTGGTTTTGGTAATTTTTAATTGTGTGATGGGCTTCAAATGGCCCCAAAGAGTTACTAAAGCTTCTTTCAACTATCTTAGACCTGTTGTAAATAATGGCCCCTCATTAACCCCTTTATTTCACAGAATGAAATACAGCCTGTAAAAAAAAAAAAGTAAAATAAAACATCTAAAGTAAAAGTAAAAAAAACAACAATTAAATTCACTCAGCACAAATAGAAACTATGGTAAATATATACTGCTATGGGTTAAATCAAACTGACCCAGCACATGCCTAAAAAATAACAGCTACAAGCATAGTATTCTTTACTACAAAGTGACAGATGCACTTCAAATATTTTTAGTAACCAAGCAGTAAATATCTACAAAATCCTATACGAAAGCAAAATGTAGAACACTATGCAGTAAGACTAATCTGTGCCTAGATACAACTTGTAACTGAGCAGTCTTCAGAGATGTCCTTCATTCCTGGTTGTGTGTCTGTAGCCAACAATCAAAGTGAGATCAAACACCTTTTTAAGGACCAGGTCAGCGCTCCAGTTTTTCTTGATTAAGACACTTGAGAGGGCACCAACAGCCTCAGGTGTAGATTTAACAAGGCAGACCAATGGGACCAGCTGAAAACTACCCAGGACACAATCCATTCAACTGTAAACTCACTGTTATAAGGTGAGCACAAATACTTTATTGAATTCCACTCTCTCATTCAATTAATTTATGTTCTTGTGGGATTAAAACACAAAACTGAAAGAATTGCCAAGAAGCTGGATGAATCAACTTTCATTTAGAAATGTGTGTCATATTTTTTCAGATTTGATTTTCCAGCTTTTCGCTTGAACATTTTACTCAGGGAAAAGACCAAATATCTGTCATCTGCTCTGAGAGTTAGATATACAAGGCTGCAAAACTGAAATAGGAAACAGATGTACCCCTTCCTGGGGCAATGCATTGCAGCATAGATGTAGAAAATCACCCGACTAGTTAAACAGAATTACAGCTATTTTGCCTGATGAAATAATTCACATATATGTATTTGTATTGTAGCCAAGCTATAGGCATTTAAGTATTTACAAATTCTTAACAAACAGTAAATCATCTTTAAACCAAGCCCTCACTAATCTCTACAGCTGCAGGCACAGTGGAGCAATTCATTCTTAAATTTCACAGCAGAGGCACTTAAGTCCTTCAAGTTGTTCTCTTAGATAGCTTAGCTCACCCTGGTTCCCCTTCCAGAGCTCCTGTTCTGTGTTTACACTAGAAATAAGAAAGCTGAAAATGGCTGCTGTGTTGCTGCTGGGAGGGGATCTGAAATTCTGAGAGAATGAGGTGAATTGTTTCTATGCTTCTGCTGTGCACTTTGAGGATGAATTTCTTCACTGAGACTGGGGCTACGAAGGTCAGTGGCGGCCTGTCTTTAAGCTAAATTACTGCTTGCTATGAATATATAAATACTTGAATGTGTTCCCTCTGGCTACATGTTCACTTTTAACTTTTTTAACCTATTTTCTTGGAGCTCTGCTGAATTAATTATTGTCTTCTTATGTTTTTTATGTGCTCCTGTGATCACATCTCAACTAGTGGAGATAGTGAGGCACTCTCATAACTAAAGTGCTGTCATCTCAGGGGGCAGAACCCATTAGCTGATGAGAACCTCAAGCCATCAGTGGTAACCATTAGCAAAATATTAGATTTATATTCTCTGAGCAGTATTTTCGATCTGTCAAATTCCCTTCACATGTTAGGAAGGAAAGGCTGCCCCATTTTGAATGGTTCTTTACACACTTCCACATTGGTGGGGCATGCTGTCACAATGCATCAATGTAAATGTCACATACTTGGTTAAGGTTATGCTCGGCAATCACCCCATAGTAGTACGGCCCAAATGATGGCTAAAATATCATAAGTGTTTGATACTATTTATTAACATTTTCTGATTGTCAACTTCACCATATAGTGGAAATAGTTTAAATAACTCTTCTATCTTCTATGGCTCCCAGAAGCTCCATTTCTGAGCTAACCATTAGTAGTATGGGCTGAGCCACTTCAAATAAGGTCATAATAAGGCCATATTGTTATAGAGGGATTTCCCAGTTATATGTACCGTATTTGCCGGCGTATAAGACGGGGTTTGAGACCCAAAAAAATCGCCCGAAAATCAGGGGTCGTCTTATACGCCGGGTATACTTCGGTATACTGTATGTAGCTTCGGCTACATACAGTATACCGCGCTGAGCCAATCACGGCAGGCTTTGTATTTAGTAAATACAGGCTTTGTATTAAAGTATACAAAGCCTGCTGTGATTGGCTCAGCGCGGTAGTAGCTGAAGGACGGAAGACGGAGGACGCCGCTGGGATCCTGGACAAGGTAAGAGACTGTAATACCGAGTGTGGCTCGGGGTTAACACTTATGGTACTGAAAATTAACCCCGAGCCACACTCGGGAATACCGCCAAGGAGGTTAGTAAGTGCATTTAAACATTGTTTTGGGCTATACTCGTCTTATACGACGAGTATAGCCCAAAACCTATATTTTTACACAAAAAGTGGGGGGTCGTCTTATACGCCCAGCCGTCTTATACGCCGGCAAATACGGTATATGCTGCATGTTTGGGAGATAGTGTGGTGCCATCAGTTGACTTTATAGTGGTTATAACCTCAGGAAGGAACAGGAAATTCTGGAGAGGAAACTTTAAAAGTGTGACATCTCTCTGGATGGAACCAGCCTTTAAAACAAATTTGGCCATAGACATCTGATTAATTTAATATGTTTCTTATTAGCCCTTTCCCAAATAATCAATTGCTTTTAACTTAAATTGCTTTTAGAGTTGGTGTTATATTTCACAAAGCCTGCAGAAAATGTTTAACTTTTTTTATGGAAATTCTCTGTAAGCCTTTCAGTTTCTGGTGGATGTCACAGATTCCTGCACATCATTGCACATCATTGCCCCCACCAAGGGCGACCTTGCTTCCTTACAACCTCCAACTGATGATGAGCAGCAGTTACCAAGAGTACATGTTAATGAAAGCTTGCCTACAAAAGTGTGTCCATTCTGTGAAAACATCTATAAAATGATAATGTGAAAAGGAAAAACAAGCATACGTGCATGTCAGATTAATGCTGATTATATATACTCAATCATTGGGACTATCAAGTGAAATATATTAGACATATGTCATGTTTCACACTTTCTAATGCAGATGAACTGATAGCATATGTTTTGGGAATGTACTGTGAAAACTAACCAGTTTCTTCAGCTTTAATATTAAACCAGTGAGTATATGTTTAGCCATCAACACAAAGCATGCCTCCAAAACAGACATAAGGGTTCTATTTTGATGCTGTCTGTTTGGTTTAAAAGTTAGTACAGCTTTTTGATGAGCCAGAATCTAGGAAAATGCTTATGTCAAATAAACAACACTGCACACATATAATTTAGGTACAAATATATACAATATATATATATATATATATATATCTGGTGTAACATATCTGAGATAGATACAGTATCTGGTAGTCCTAGACCAGTAGGAGTAGGAATTGCTTTTGATATACAATTGAAAAAATGGGGGATGTACTCCTTGAGGGACGTAACCCATGATAACAGTATGAGAATTTTCAGATTTTCAGACGGTAGCTCGCAGTGAAGACACAGGTAAGTTTAAACCTGTTTGAAAGGTTTTTTTTTTTTTTTTTTTACGTTTTTGCATATATCTACTGCTTGCTAGCAGTAGATATATGCACAAAACTGAGGGTTTAATAACCCTTTAAGGAAAGAAAGCCTAAAATAAGAAAAATTATGAAGGCCTATATATAAGAACTGGTAAGCTACAAACCATTTCACATATGTTATTGGGTTTTGATACATCACAGAAACAAGACTCTTAGGGTTTAGGGTTTAAAAAAGCAGATGTGATCAAATGAGAAAATACGTAATTATGTTATTGAAGAACTTTAATGGAACCTGCCAATGCTGTGGTCAACTGGAAGAAGTGCGCAGGCACTCATTTTATGAAGTAGGCACATGACATAATGTGACTCGGGGAGGTCTAAAAGAAAAGCAGGATTTCTTCAAATAGTGTTATCAAATACCTGAGAGCCTTGATGTGCTAGAAACTTCATTGTGCTCCTAGAAGCAGCATGACAGTGACACAACATTAATGCCAGTTAAAAGGTTCATGACCCAAATCTCATTAGATGCCTTACCTTATAGAACTTGCTGTTGAATCGGGGTCTCTCGCTGTCACCTGGCCAATGACACCATTTATGGCCGCGTTCTCGTGCACCTCCAGCAGATAACTAGGCGATGAAAAGACAGGGGGCTCATCGGAATCCTCCACCGTTACTTTAACCGTTGCGGTGTCTTTGAAGGGTACCGCGCTGATGAAAAGCGGATCAATATGAATATTGACTGCCTCTACCTTCAGTGTATAGGATTTTTTGCTCTCGAAGTCCAGAGGCTGTTAAGAATGACAAAGATAAATGCTTTTCACTAATGACCACAGAAGCAAGAACAAATGAATTTAATGCTGATGGATGAAAGTTATGTTCATTTAAGCACATTGACTGAGCTTTAATGCAACCACAGTGTAAGCCATCCACTCGCTCAGGCTGAGCCTGTAAATTGTGTGGGCATTTATTGATATCTGTTTATTATGTTACCTCAGTGAAGTCAATCTTTTTGTTCCCTGTCCTTTTTACCTTTCTCTTTTAATTCAAGAGTCACAAAATGTTCTTTTTCTGAGGCTTGATCACCAGGATTTCACATGAGATACATCATAAAACCTGCTCAGTGATTACAATACTGCAGCAAAGTCAAGCATTCCTTTCCTAAATGGAATCTGGAGTGTATTTTCAGTCAGCACACATTTTGAGATATTATTGTAAAGTTTTCCTGAAAGTAAGTTTTCATATGGCTCTCACATTTTACTCTCTTGCTGTACCATATTTCACGATGGCATTTCATATACTGTTTTTTAGAGTCTCTCTCTAGTGACCATCTATCAAATAGTGCAATCAGCATCCTTAAAGAATGACTTCTTAGATAAAACTGTCTGCAAGACAAGTCATCTAGAGATGGTTTTTATGGTCAATAAACCATTATGGGTCAATGCTGGCCCACAGACTTTCATGGAGACATGGAGCTGTAAAGAGCAGTAAAATGCAGTCACTGTACAACAATACTGAGGAGAAAGGAAATCATGTGTATTAGGAAAATGCAGCTAACTCATGTGCCTATATGCAATCTGCACATAAAAATATAGTTTTGTAATGGTAACTTCTAGAGATATATTAAACCAGTGGTTCTCAACCTGTATAACCTCAGGACCCACATTTGTCCTTGGTCATTAAGTCACACTGCAAACACACTCAGACATTCTCACACACACACACTCCAACAAACAAATTATATTCTTTTTCTATGTTTTAAGATTCACCCAGTCTCCCTAACTTACGATAACTGGAGTGGATCCTCAGCTTGGGGTCCAGGGTGGGCTGCTGTGCTGTGATGGAGCTCCATCCATATGTGCATTGTTTGTACATCTCCCTTGCACGTCCTGTAGAGGCGCCAGGAGCCAAATGTGATGTCAGTCCAGGCACTACTAGAGGGCATGTGAGGGAGCTGTAAACAATGCACATATGGAGGGAGCTCCCTCGTGGCCATATCACCTGCCCACCCAACCTCACCTCAAGCTGACACTCAGCACCAGGCAGCACATTTTGAGTGGCTGCTTGGCGTGAGAACTGATGGTGCTGTGCTAGGGGGAGGTTGAGGAGTGTGTCACCTAGGCATGTGGCGACCCGCTGAACATGGAGTCATGACCCACTTTTGGGTCATGTCCCACCAATTGAGAACCAATGAATTACACAATCACATGCATGTCATGTGGGCAGCTTGGAAACTACAACTCCCATTAGTAGTAAAAGTATGTACAGGGGGAGTTTTATACAAGGCTGTCCCCTCTGCTCCTCAACCTGACCATACAGGAGCTCTGGAATGATGTCTAACAGCAACAAGGCATAATATCATGCAATTTAGAGGAAGTGTTTTTTGGTGACACGTGTTATAATGGCACATATTTCAGCATTATAGCCACAAATTATAGACTCAATGGATACAACGTTGATCACTATTTAAATGCTGAAGTATCAATTTTGTCATGCCACAAGAGGGCGCTGCATACAAACTGAATTTCTGGCAGGATCACCAGGCATGTTGTAGGCATGTTCACCCAAGATTCACACATGTTTTTGATGGCATCTTATGTGAAACTATATGAATCTTGAGCAAAAGTTGTGGAAACATTGATAAATAGACCCCTTTAAAATGGTAGCTCCATTTTTTCATATAATAGGGGATTTCTAATACAGCCTTCAGGTACGATAAATAATTTAACATTTCTTCGACAATGCATAAAGTACAAGAGACTATGTGCTGTTAAGTTAGTATTATGCATTACAATAAACCTTTATTTATTAGCGCTTTACTATTTAATGGCATAGTGCTTTCTTTATTGAGGTTTTAAAACAAATTCTAATGACGACCTTTCTTAAGATTTCATTGTTTCTACAGTTTTACAGGACATTTTAGAAATCATTTTTGTTAGTATATTATAAGCAGATAATGTAATGTACTCCCACACAATTTACTTTTAGCACGCTTAGAATATTTGTATTTCTAATCTGTTTTTAGTTCCTTTTTCTGTGTTTTTTCTTTTTATGTTAATGTACTCCCACAGAATTTAATTTTCAGCATAACAAGAATTTCTCTTTTTTCTTTTACTTTGTTGTACTCATTTTATTTGCTCTTATTTTAATTACATTTTTTAAATGTAAGAATTTAATGTGGGTCTCTGGAGCCTGTGTAGCAGATCAAATTTACTCTAAGCTCTTAAAGACATTAAAGAACATTTTTTTTTTACATCTTTCAATGACTGCCAAGTAAGGTTTTTTAAACAAATTAGAGTTTACAATGCCAATGATAGATGGATATCGGTGATCAATTGTCCCAGTTTGATTTTTTTACACTTTCATCTTTGAGAGTATGTTCCTTTAAATTCCGGTTCATGGTCAGTTTTTTTGCCTCTGCATGATTTTTGGGGAGGTGAAAAAAATTGCATTTTTAAAATATGGATGTTGCAGTCTCAAACATTTATACAGACATCCATGACTGAACAATTGTGCAGTTTCCAATGGGTTTTTTTAGTAATATTATAATTACTCTACAAAAATTTAAACAAAACAAAAACAACATTTTACTCCTATGCTGACAATTGTTGATGTCAACTCAAGGCCAATCTTTTTCTAAGGCCTCATTCGCACAGCTAACTGTCAGCCCGTACAGACCCGTACGGTGTACATGGCCGAATCGTCCCTCTCACGGGAAGGACAGGTGCTGTGTGTGATTTGCACGCAGCAGCCTCTTCTTCTCTATTGGAGTATGCGGCCGTATGCTCACCTGAATTACACATGCGAATTACACAGACACCCGCACAGTGCTGATCAGGATAAATTAGAAGAAATTGCATTCTTGGGGGCCATAATGTGATATAAAACATGGCTGAAAGTGATGAAAATATTAACTGGGGTATCTATGCTCAAAATGATCTGTCTAAAGAAAAGAACAACTAGGTCTTAAAAGGTCACATAGAACTTAAAACCACAGGAGTTACAATACATATTAAAAATAGCTAGAAAATAATGCATATAAAAATGATATGTAAACTAATATACTGTATATATTAAATAATAAAAGATGACAGATAAATAAACAATAAATCAATATAAATAAATAAATCCCTCAGTGAGAGCATATAGAGCAGAGTTTCTCAACCTTCAGTTACAGAAACCTTTAAAGGAATACAAAATCTCAAGGTACCTCTGTCTAAAAGGAAAAACACAAAATATACATGACATGTGTTTTCCTTTTTTTTTTCATCACAGTGTGTGTGTGTCAACATGACAGAAGGTGGTAGGTGGAGCAGGTCTGGATGGAGCCAAAATTCTGTCCTCTACTGAATTCTGGAGCAAGTCCTGGATGCAGTCTGCAGTGAATTGCCATCATGCATTTCCACAGCGTCAGTGGCCAGGTTGCTGCACCATGGAATTGCAAGATACTGTGTGCAAATTTGGAGGCACCCCTGACAAAGCCAGGAGGCACCACAGGATGCCACAGCTCCCTAGTTGAGAAAGGCTGATTTAGAGCACTTCTCTAAATACTCTTCCGTAAGCCCCTCACACTATATAAAAGGTCAGCATCTGATCACAGCAGAATCATGTGTGCAGTATGGGGACTGCAAAAACCCAGCATATAATCCAGTCTTTTAACATACTTTAATTACTGTACATTTTTTCTGATCATTTTAGTAAATGCATCAGATCCATAATTTGTTAAGCTGTTTTATATGCATATTTTCATTCCCACAACAATTTGCTAATCTGTGAGGAACAGATGACACGAGAAACAAGGGGAATTAAAGGGAAGTTAATAGCATGTGCATATTTTAATGAGAAATGTCAATCTCCCATCACCTGTCAAACAGCTTCTCAAATTGTCTAATATAGGAGGATGTTTCAGGCTGTCAAGAAACTTTATTTCATATATTGAAACATAGTTGTTATATTTGACAAAGACATAGAGGACATCTTATCAATCACCACTTCCTGCAATGTGGTGCCACTGTTATTGCTTCTGAATGGCTTGTAAAATATGACATCAAACATTCAGTAGCTGAGGTTAAATGTAGACTGGAAGAATATTTCATGGTGATGAAAGTGGGTCACTTTAAGTGATTAAAGAACACCCAGAGTTTAGTATTCTTTAGCTGTATGCAACAACATTCATAATGTAAAAGATGATGTTAGAAAAGTACTTCCAATTATGAACTTTAAAGGGCCCATTTATAACTATGCAGTGCAGAATGCAGCTTACCACAAAATGTGGTGATGTCTGTACTGTGATGTGGTACTTTTTATAGGGCACCCCAACACATTAACCAATGCACCTACGATGTAACCACATTGCAGCGCAGCACATTACAAGTAATACACACACCATGTGATGTGGTGGGCTGTGTTGTAAAAAATGGTGCTGATCTATTTTGGACTGTGCCCTGATGCCTTGGCAGTTCATTACAATTAATCGTCTGCCTTAAAGCGACCAAAAGTCAAGGTATGCTTATTAAATATGACCCCCTCACACTTCCTGAATATATAAATGCAATTTCAAAACACAACTGTAGGGAATAAAAGTTAGATAGTATGCTTAGCTTTCTTTCAGCTTCCATCTTCAGATCCTGGGTGAGAGTGATGTCATCTTATGCTCAGCAAGATCCATGGGAATGTAGAGAAGTCCAAATCTTGCTGTGAAGATGTTCCCAGCAATGGGCTACAAAATCTTCTTGCAAGATTTGGATTACTCACCATATCCCCACGATCTTGTTACCACCCTGCACTAGAG